TATAATAGCGAAAATNTGCCTTAATTAAATTCATTACATTCTTTCAAATTGTGAACATTTCAGTACTTTAAATCATTATTTCTTCTTGAATTTTCATTTACCTTCGTTTCATAAATTAATTGAAAAATAAAAAAAAAAATTCCAATATTTTAGATGAAAGGCGTATTATGATGAAAGCTAATTGTTCGAAAATTTTTTAAATCATTTATAAACCATTTTTGCACCAATGAATTGTTGCTAGCGATCATTATAATAATTTCTAATCCATTCAATCAATAAATAAATCACTTCTCTTTTTTTTATCTTTCAGGTGATGCAAAATGGTTATGAAAAATTCGGTAATCATTTAATAACGATCTTTTCGGCACCAAATTATTTCATGTCTAATTCCGCAGCAGTATTACATATAGCAAAAGATTTGGCAAGCATTTTTTTTAATTTCTTTTATTTTCATAAAAAAGAAAGAAAGAACAAAAGATGAGGCAAACTTATTTGTTACATCTTTTCAAATAGCACCATTTTTTCAGTTTTGGAAAAAAAGCGAAATTTCTTGTAAAATTTTCATTTACGTTCATTTCTCGTTCATTTCTTGTAAAATATTTAACCAACAACAATCTTAACTCAAATAATTTGTCGTTGACACAATTTTTTATCGTCGTAAGAAGTATTCCTCAAACTACTTTTTTAGTTCAATTTTTTGCTCATTTTAATTAATGATAAAAATTTGACGAAATTTTAATCAATCATCAAAAGCGATGACAACACATGGAAGGACGAATGATAATTTGACAACCATATCATGTTTGAAATTGACTAAAATCATATAAGTTCCATTTTTTTCTAGAAATGTAAAATAGAAGTGCATCGACCTGGATAGTAATTTTGGGAATGATAGCAAGATCAAGAAAGGGAAAAAAATTAAACAAGTTAAAAAGCAATTCTATTCTCGTTTCTTTAACTCTACAGATGGCTAGCATAATGTAAATTTGCAAAAATTTTGCTGAGACATTTTAAATTTATTAATATACCGACCGATGGAAGTATTCATTTTTCGCATCATAGTTGTAATGCTGGATGCTTTGTAAGGCATTGAATACATTTGCAATAAAATACTTTTAAGATTTCAAGCAACAATAACTCTAACTCACTGATAATCTATAATACATATGGATGGGTTAATTAAGTTCATTTAGATTAAATTAAGATTAGAATTAAGTCAGAACTAAATTAAAAAATTTTTAAATAGAAGTAAAATTGGATTTAAAGTTAAATTAAGGTTAAGTTAAATCCAGTTAAACTTCGAACATTTCTGAAATTGAAATTGATATCCAATTGATCATAACAAATATTAATAGAACTTCCAAAAAAATTTAAGGAAACCTTGAATGTTTATGGTATACAAAATGAAATAAGCAAACAGATACAGATATCAGTCCCTCATAAACTTTCATCAATAATTTTAATCACAAATGATGTAATTTAATTTGCAATCTATGTCCCGCATTTTAAACATTCCTTAGAATATATTTCATTGTGCTCGTTTATCTATACCAATAGTAATTCCTTACCAGTCCAATTTCGATTTTTATGCTTATAAACTGAATGAATACGAAGAATAATCAAATCACAATGCCAGTTGTGTATGATAATATCTACCAAGAACTAATTATTAATTGAAATTTGAATAGTAATATTTTCAGAAATTAATTAGTTTCACTGCTTTTTTTCCCCCCTCGGCTTTTCACACAGATTACGTCAAAAATTTGTGTACTTCAAATTGAAAATTTGCGGCACTGTTCGGACGTAATGAATGCAGGAACGACTGAAGAGGGGTTTCATGTTGCATGTTGACTTGCTTCCAATTCACTGCCAGTTTACTAAGTCGTAAATAATTTCGAGGCAGTTGTTCGAAGGAATAGAAACAAAAAAAAAAAAAAAGAAACGGAGATAATAGCTGTTTCTTCGTGATTCTGTATTTTAGCAGCATAAGGCGGTATAATATCAGCAGAGAGGAAATAATGAAATCGATACGAATATTTCGTTTAACAACAGGTACATGTAAATAGTCGCATTTAGGTTTTTTTCTTTTTTTATTTTACATTAAATGTGAGCAACATTTCCCAATGTGATATAATTCTTTTTCATACCGTTAGCTGCAATTTCAATGCAATTACGGACACTTCTCTCTCTCCTCATCAGCTAAGGTCATCTCGGTCCAGTAAACAGCACCCGAGTTCGGGTCTAGCTCGGATCTATTGTCCCGAGATACTACTCCGGATGTTGAACGTGGGTCGCTAGCCCAGATGTTTGCCGAACCTCGACCAAAAAGACTTCCAGACAATCCTAGTGGATCATCGATAAAAGTATTATGATGGTGCACTCTGTGTACGTGATCGAATCTTGTTTGTCGAGGTGATGGCAATTGGTGCGGTGACGGAAAAACTGGTTCTGGAAAAAGAAGTTTGTGAAAAGTCGGGTTAAAGTTTTTTAACTGGGATGAAAACCGGCTAAGATAAAATGCTTTTCGAATTGAAAGAGAAAAATGAAATTGAAAACAATTTCGGAATGCCACTTAAGAAAAACTCAAGAGAACAAGAATTGGGATTGAAATAAAATAATTCATAACCTGCTGCTAAATTTGTTGGTCGAGGACGTCGAGGACGAGAATTCGATGAATTTTCGATAATAAATGGTGGCGCTTCTGGATTAAGCCTAAATGCACGAACTGATTCTGCAAGACAATTACATGCACCGTCTGAGGTTGGCAGTTGTTGAACAAAATCGTTTGTTGTTGCTTGCGACCAATTATTGCTAGTGGAAATCGGTGGCATCTGCCAAACACTTTCACTGTTTCCTTGTTTATCATGATCATGATCGCAGAAATATTCCGCTAGTGTCGGCAATCTAAGATTAAAACCTGGCCAAACCTCATCTTTTTCCTCTGAAAAAAAATTCTCACTTTGAATTTTTTCTTCGTTTTGAATTTCCAAGATTAGATGCTATTTTTCAAATCATACACTTTCAACGTTGCTACTTGTTACTAAGAGATTATACAAATGCAACTATGAAAATGAGAGGCTGCTTACATGTCATTCATCCCTTTCATTCGATCGATTATCCGAATCTCTTACTGTTTTAAATGTAGAATTTGGAAAACACTTGATTCTGGAAGACTAGTGGCTTATGAAAATCGAAAATTTAAACAACTAAACAGAATTTAAAAATTAGATTGATCCAACACCAGCTCAACCATAACAAATCTAATGTGTGCTTTACAATGGCAGTTTTTAAAAACAAATATTTGAAACGAACCAATCACCCATTTATTTCTCAAATATTGATCTTCCGCTAGTTTTCGTTCTCTCTGTAACTGTTCGATGAACGCACTTGGCCGATTACCTCCCTTTTTGCCATTATTTCGTTGAGAACCAATTGGACCCGAAATTTTACGGTAGAATTTAAACTCCAGATAAAAAACTTCGGTATTTTGTTATTAAAATGTTCTTTTCTCTATTTCAAATGGTTTCAATTTTTGAATTATCTTCACACTCTTTGAAAAGAATATAGCGCTGTGCTCAATTTTTACGAATCCCCATATTTACTTGAAACATCATCTACCTAAAAATTTACCATGTCCAGAAAAAACTTCTTGTTTTCTTTGCGGATCCATTCTTTGTTCCAATCGAGTTGGGTGGACGACGGTTACAGATGACGGTAGAGATGGCCCTACTGAACACTGCTGTGCTGACAATTTTTTTTCCGATAAGAATAAACGTTCAGTAGCATCAGCTAAGGCACTAAAGTCTTCATCGACATTTCCGTCTAAATACAAAACTGAACTGATGAATAAATTTCTGATCGTTATAATTAAAATTTAAGGAATAAAAGTCGAACGGATATTTGATAAATAAATAAAACCATGTCTTCGGTGGACATAAAAAGAGGAAGAACTTTTTCGATAATTTCATCAGTTGCGGCACAGTCAGATCACTGCTTCTTGATGAAACTAAGAAAAATTTTAAGAAATCCTGGAGAACTTGCCATTTATTATAGCAGGACCGTCTACCCACTCTGGTGGGGCACTCGCATCACTCAGTCCCGCTTCTGATCTGAAGATCCACCATTCATATTAATTATGATAAAAGGAAAAGAATTGTGAAAAGTTTTAAAACTAACAAAAACCAACTCTAGATCACATATTTTTAAAAAAATGCCCAAAGTCCGTAAAAAACAAAATCAGAAGATGCCTAGTAGCGACACTTCATTTCCTTCATGCAGTTTGAATACATGTGGTATAACATTGAATAGGTTTTCGTAAAAGACGCACTCTTTTTTCCTTCAGATTCTAACCTTTCATCAACAGACTTTTCACGATGCATTGAAAGCCAGTTATAACTACTTTTGCTCTCTTCTGTAGTCTGAAGAACGGCAACATTATGCGATATGTAATTGTGCTCTGGTTTCTTAGTATCCCGTGAAATTGGGCTTTCATCTTTGACTAGGTCTGTATTCTTGACATGACTGTCAGAACTGCCTGAAGGACACGAAACAGTAGCAGCTTCCAAGACAGCTCTAGATCGTAATCTACTTGAACCTTAAATTAATACATTATATGCGGTCGAATTTCCTTCCAATCCTATCCATGAAATACCGCTAAGAAATCATTATGATTAACCAGGTTAAAATCACCAGAACTACTCAAGTTGTTCTGCGTTATATACATATTAATACAGGTAAGTTCTATGTCATATATACATCAGTACAATCAACAATAATATGTGAATTTTAAGTTTCCGAATCACCAGGAAACTACGATTTTCCAAGTTCTCCCTTAAAATTTTCCATCTGTAATAAGAAAATCAACTATCAATATTTAGTAGCAGAAACATATGCAGGCCAATCAAAACTATCGACTAAAATTGGATCTGTAATTGTTTTAAAACACCAATTTTACCTGCGCGATTTTCTTTCGTTTCTCTCGTCTTTAGAAAAGATGTTCTTTCTGCGCTTACCTAAAAGCGATATGTAGATATTTATCAAAATCTAATTTAAAGCAAGCCTAATTCAATGAGATTATAACATATATAAAAAAGAACTGTTCTCCTTTTTAAATTAATTTTAAATAACCTTTTCCTTTGAGGATCTGCACACTCCATTGACAGATACATTCTTTTGAGAATTAATACTATGTGATGCATGTCCGATCGAATACGATGACAGACTAAAGCTATAATAGCATTTTAAAGGAAAATTTGACCATTAAGAAATATGTTTCAACAGAAAAAATTAAACCAGAATTTTTTATTGAATTCATTTCTACTTACCAATCACACATTTCTATATTGCACTAATCACGGTTTTAAGATTCGACTGTGTCCCCGATCAAGCATAAATCAGGTGTGCTACTGACAAAAAAGCATGCTATTATTCCGTTCTTTCTGTTAGTTTGCATTCCATTCACAAAATAATTTAACAACACAATATTTAGTAGTACAATTAACGAAATTCAAAGAAATATATATATATATATATATATATATTCCGTACCATACCTTTTGTAGCCGTATCGTTTTTCTACTGCACTCGATCCACCACCGGCTGTTATGTTGGATGAATCAGATGGCGTCGATGCTGATTTACCGCTATTCAAAGAAGCACCTTTAGTAGAAAAGGTCGAATCACCATGACATTTAATCAGTGTTTTTTTCTGACGTGTTCTTACTTGTTTTACTGTTACTCGTGTCTGAATGAGAAGCTTTTGAAGGTAAGATATGCAAAGTTTGTTGCATTAGATGGAAAGATGCTGTCAGAAGCAATCCTTCGAACAAACCTAACAAGACCAAAGAAAAACATATGACAATGGTTTTTGGAATAAATTCATAAGTTATACAATTTGGATGACCATGACCGACGTATAATACCACCTCAGCAATATGACATTAAAGAAAGCTCAACATGATTGATGAGGTTTGATATCCACTGCTGTAGCATATCAGTGCAATAATCAGTCTTCCCTAATTGCGGAATACAAAGACAACAATAAAATGAATTTTTGAAATGTTTACGAATTGGGAAAAAGATGGTAATTCAGAGCTATAAATTATTAATGCTTATTAATAATATAAATAACTGGAAAATAACATACAGAAAGTATTCAAAAGATGATCCAAAAAAAACAGAACATACATCATCACCACGGAACTGCCACACGAACGAAAACAACCACAGAACACTGTTTGCTGCTTGCCAGAATGAGCGTATCAACAAATTAGAATCTTCTGAATAGTGCAAAACATGCCGACGAGGTGCTGACGGTTTGAATTTTGCTAAAGAAGAATTTCGAACTTTTAAGAAATTCACTAAGCAAAAAATAAGCAAGTGGAAAAAACCAAACGATGATCCTCCATTTTGTGAAATCTCTTACACTCTCTGAATCTCTTCATTGTGTTTTAAAAAGTACTGAACTCGTGACTTCGAAATTTCGTAGCAACATTTGGAGATTGCAGTATTGCAGCTACACAAAGTGTTAAAATGGAAAACTTAGTAATATCAAAATATTTCGTCCTCCTTTAAGCCAGTGTTAATAAAGTTTGTCAACTTTATTTGTTTATTTTGTAGTTGTTTGTCAACTACTGAAAATACAGTTTTAGACACTAAGTTATTAGACTATGTTGATAAAAAGGAAAAAAAATACATAGAGAACAGAGTCCCTTATCACGAGTGCGTCGCATATCAGTAGTGTTCGGATCTAAGACTCGCCGTATCTGGCCAAATTGCTGCCTTATACCGCATGTTATCGTTCTATCACCTTCCAGATATGCACAAGCAACGATACAAATAAGGCAAAACCTGAAATGATGAATTATTTTGCAACTTTCAGGAACGTGTTTAAAACTAGACACATCCTGAAGTAACTTTATGCAAGTTAACAAAGCTGTCTTGATTACTAAAAAAGGTGGGATCGATTATTTGTGCTCATAGGATACTGGTAAATATATGATAGATGAATATGAAACTGCTTAACAACGAGGTCTAACTTATTGTTTATTATATAACAGATTCGACTAAAAAGAAAAAAAGTGCCAAAAAACATGCTTAAAAAAACGCTAAGAGAAAATTTCTGGCAAAAAAAAAAATGCATTGATTAAATGTTAAAAAGCATTTAAACAACAGCTAAGCTTCAATGTTCACTTCAACAGATTTGACTGAAACTGAGTCCCTACCGCTACATTGAACAATTTCACTTATTTATTTCGTATTTTTTGAAAGAAAGCTCACAATAAAACAGATAAGCAGGAGTAATACATAAAACATTCAAAAGGTGGTCGTGGCAAAGCTGCATGACATTTGGCTAACATATGGCGTGGTACAGATGCACCCATTGGGAACAACCAAGATGTCCCGTTCATGTGCATATAAAACTGCAATGCAGCCTCATTCCATGATATTAAAAAATCGGGCGTATACCTGAAATTATATCTAATATATATTTCAATTTTTTAAAATTTTCGATCCTACAAAGCTAAGTTGTATGTTCATTTTCCAAAAGCCGCAATAAATTAGGAACAACAAAACAGTTATTAAGGTTAAGAAAATTATATTAAATAAATACTTCAGAAAAAGAAAACTAACGCGACATCCAAAATGTGTGTTTCATTCGGTTCAAGACGAAATGGCTGACAGTTCAGAATGCGAAAACCACGATTTTCGCAAGGAACATTATTGATACTTATGTTGACGACAGTAAATACTACTTCGCCGGTGTTCATGATGGTAAAGGAACGTTTTACAGTGAGTGTTGTGAAAAGTTTGTGCGTTAAACCTGAAATTAAAAGTCTCCACGACGTCTAAAATGCACACATTACACAAAGTTGCATGTCTGCTAACGGAACATGAAATTACAAATAACTAATTGAAATGTAGAACCTTGCATAAGTTGAAAGAAAATTCAAATTGAAACTCGGAAAAATCACATTTAGATGAAAATTTATGAAGGAAACAAACGTTTTGGATTGTGACAATCTGAAAGATGATGCGGTTGTATTTCAAAAGTTAATGGATCGCGAGTTCTTGCAGCACGACCCTCTACTTGCATATCCATGCGTGCTCCGCGACCATATAGTACAACTGGTTCCAGGACCGTTAGGTTATTACTAAAATTCAATTGCATGATAGAAAATAGATTGAACTCAAAAGATTTCCTTGAAATTAGAATGTAGCACTTAAGTCCATCAGAATCTCGCCACTACGTTATCCTCAAAATGTGATGCTGAACTAAGTTAGCAAACATCATGATAATTTAAAAAAATAAAAAAACCACCCACATTTTCTAAAGATTAGTTTCGAAAACCTAATGAAAACTATACCGAATTAAAAGTAGCGACGAACGAAGAACATAATCAGAAGGTAAGAATCCAACACGAACACGTACCTTCATTCTCGGTTGTAGCAACATCGATAAGGTAAATCTGAAAAAAGTAAATACTCTAAAGAAAAATTTTGAATGAAACTTGCATTTCCGAAGGTTTTTTGTTTTCTAAAATTATTTATTTTTTTTAGAAATGATTGAAGCGATGTTCTGGAGAAACACTTACTTTGGAATCGGTATTCCAAGAACGCTTTCCAGTTGTTCTCTTAATTTCGGTACCGGACTATCAGGTTTTAAAGTGAATAGTTCCGTATCTCGTAACGAAAACATCAACGTTTCATTCATTTCAATTGGGTCTGTAAGTGGTGAATCCAGCTCATTCCGGAAAAAATCAATCAACGTGTCAGCATCGGGATAAACAACCAATGGCAACAACTGCACAGCAATTGGTAACGACGATGGATTTGTTAATGTTAAATTGACTATCTGAAGTGAGTTAAGGATCGTACAACCATTAAAAAAAAGAAAAACAAAACCAGAGCTTGAGGTTTTTGAACTTTAATAAGTCAAGCAAATCAATGACAACAATAAAGGAAATAAGCACGCAACTGAATTTCAAATCATGAGGAACTTACAGTAAAATTTCCCACAGCCGTCAGAGGGAAATGAACAGTGGAGCGAGTTAAAAGCCTTGGCCAAATAAGCTCTGAGGCCAAAGGTACTTCCAAGTGCTTGACCTGAAATTCCAAGAACTGTAAGACACCAGAAGGAAAACTAAAATTAAATTTTCGCTGAGAATGCTCTTTTTTTAAAATCATATACAAATAAAAAAAGTTGGAGTAATTAACTACTCTACCTTATCGGTATCAATAATGATAGTTCCATTCATGCAATGTTTGCCTTCAGCTTGCAGCGCATGAAATCTTCGCCGTAATCTGAAAATGAAAGTCGGAATTTTGAAATTCCTTTCATTAATGTTAGAAATAAAATAAAAGTGTAAAAGTGAGTCTAAAAAAATAAATTTAAAAAATAAACTCAAACCTGCTGTACAGATAGTAATCGATTTCAGCCAGATTCTGTGGTAATTTCATGCCATATGTAAACCACTGCCCGTCGGCCGTGTGCAGGGGCATACCTAAGTGAAAGAAAATATTTACACTAACAATATGTTACATTATTTCCGTTTCAAAAACTTCTTTCATTAACTCTTTCCTGATACAATTTATTCATTCGAACAAAAACCAGTCACTATTTCACCACATCAATCTATTCAATAGGTCAGCACATCTCGATCTTCCCTTTACCTTATATTGAAAAGTAGAATTCATTTTGAAACACGAGAATTTTGCATATTTTAAATGTAATACTAAAAAAAAGTATACCGACGTAACAGTCGTCTGTGCAACTAATACTTGGTATGACATGCACACGGCCGAGATCAGAGAGTGCTTTAGTTCTGATTACTGGAGTACTTCCTCGAATTGCCGCCTCAAAAAACACTTTGCGATCATTGAATAATGAAGAAATTCGCAAAACACGCATATCTTCTTCAAAGGTACTAAATACCTGAAATATTTAAAGTTTGAAAAACCTCTGAAACTCAAATTTTGTAAAAAAAAAGCGCTTCCAAATAGTTAAAAGTTCAAATGTAAGACTATTTCGAAATCAAGAACATTTCTTATATGGAACAGTACAGCGGTATTGAAATAATACGAAACCAGTAAGGGAAGTTCTTAAATGTTGACAAAATGGACTTTCATGTACACATTTGACTTTAACCTAACAAAAAAATTAGGAATGCAGCAGTAATGAACGCTAATTCCTTACAGTTACCTTCAATGAATGTGAACTAATACGTCCAGGAAATGTATCAGGAAAAACGAGTTCTTCGGGTACTGCTACTATTGTACCTTGACCAACTGCATAAGTCACCGGGAATGAGCTACAAAAATAATAGAAATGTTAAATTGAAAATGATACAAATAATAAATATTAATATCTTGCATTATGGTTAATACAACCCAAATACAACCTAATCTTAATACAGTTTAATATAACCCTAAGTTTCGGTCATCATCGGAAAAAAATAAAGGACAAAAAATAGTCTATTTTCTATCCCTTATTTAAATATTCCCTTTAAATCATTAAAAAGAAAAACAAGTGTTAGAACTGTTTTGTTTAATAAAACGAAAACTTACGAATATTCAAAATCAGTTTCAATGACGAATTTATCATGCAAAACCGCACGATCATTTGGAGCTCGCAAAGTATATCTGAAGACCGCAGAACTAGAGCCAGGTAATGGAAAATCCTCACCCTTAAAAAAGTGTTTCAGTAATTCAAATAAAAAAAGGAAAAAAGTGTTCCAGTAGTTCGAACTCTGCCTAGATCTACCAACAAATTTCATTCACACTCATTTCCACATGCCAAACTTGTCACCTTTATACAAAGATTTACAGATGCCCCTAAAATGTATAGCATGTGAAGTGGGGTTTTATAGCTTAGTTTGCCCTGTCATGCCGAAGTGCCGTTAATATTGCAAGCAAAAACTAACACCATAACAAAACGGAACCTTTAAAATGTACAAACCTCTCGATAAGATCCCGAAAAGTCTGATTTTTTAAGGTTTGTCAAATTTAAGATCGAGCTTTGTTCAGCTTGTACAGTCAATAATGACAATGTCGTTATTGATGGTAATGCTCTTTTTAAATTCTTTATAATAATGGCAACTGGATTCTCGTTTGTTATGGAAAACTGCAAAAATACAGTGACTTTAAGCAAGACAGAGCATTTTTTATCCAAAGTTACGATTTTTAAATTAGATTTCGCTTTTTGAGAGGCACTTCTAGTGATATCCGCAAAATTCATATATCAAAAATTCTCTTCTTGTAGATTTTTAATCCATGTGATGCCTTCTCATTCTCCTTTTTAACTTCTTAGTATACTAAAAAGCAAAAAAAGGAAAAAAACTTCCGCATAACAAGGTTTTTTTCGTTGATCGCTAATTCGTTAATTTCCAAATGCATGTGCTAAAACAATCACCTGAATTGAGCGGCTATCACCAGCATCAATCAAACCAAAATTGAATTCCTTCTGATGTAATGAGTGTAAAACTACCTAAACTAAGCAAATAATATTACAAAAACATTAAAACAAAATCCTGAACTGAGAACAGCATCAGCAAAACAGCATTATTTAAAAATATCACAGACGACTTGTACTGACATTTTTCAATAACTTTTTTGCCAATTATTTTTGTGTATTGTAAGCAACTTTCCATTATTTTCTAACCTTAATAGCGAAATGAAAAATGAGATTCAGCGTCTCAGACATATTTCGACACATATCAAGACAAAAGAAATATCACAGTAATTCAAGCATTTTTGAATATTTATTCATCTCACAATGCTTTTAATTCATTGCCATCATTATTTCATGAATTGAGAAAACTCGAAAAACCTCACCTTCAGTTTGCCACTGAATATAACCAATGGTATTTGAAATGTCGTAACATTGGTATGAGCATTGAAAAATGCTGCAAAACCATCTCGTTCCTTTCTTACGTATTGCAAATATATGGCGGACTTTGTCTCGCCGGCAGCTATCATTACCACATTTGAAATCAACTTTGCCTGAAAAATGTTGTCGTTTTGAACAATTTATTCTCTGAGAAAAATCATCATGGGAAAAAAGAAATAAAATATCGAAATTCGACTTAAGAATTAAAGAATGTTAAACTGTAAATTTCAGGAAAGTATAAAAGGAGCATTTTATTTGATCACCGTAGTAAGTTTTGCTTGTTCAATATGACACATCTTTTGGTTAACCATACTGTGAACAATGTAAGGAAATATTCTGATATTCTGGTTTTAAATCAATTGTCCAAACAGTTAAACAATAATTACTTTAAAAAATCTTTGTGCTTCTGCATTTAAAGTTATTTTCCATACAGCAACTCCAAATGGTAAATCGTTAGTTAATGAAATGCTTCGTGAGACAGGAGGCTTTAGAAGATTATGAAATGCTGTTTCTTCCACTTTCGGTTTTATCGAACTGGAATATGTGACAAAGCAAAAAAAAATATAGCTTAATAAATCTTCAAAATGGAACAGAAAATTTCCACGATATCGATGAATTTACCCGTAGTAAACCTGTGCTGTGTATGGTATGGTAACGTTACAAGTGCCACCGCGACTTTCAGCAACAATTCTTCCCTTATAATGAACCAACTTTGGCCCCTCCTCATTGATACGCAATAATTTCGTGTCGAATATAATTTTTGCTATCGCTTTTGATGCGCCTATAAATGTAAAATTTTAAACTATTCGTAATCCCCGAACAGGAAAAATATTTATTAAGTTGTTCGAATAATAACAGTACAGAAAATGACTCAAATTAAAAGCGCAGTTTAACGACTAACATTGATAGTGCTTACTAAGAGACTCTAACGTGCTTGACGTGTTATACTATTACCGCGTAACATTGAGAGTCCAAGGGATCTTAATGACCCACATGAAAATAAAAAAAAAAAAAAGTACCAGGTTGCTGTCTGGCTCCACATTTCACAGAAATTGGCGGCTTTGAAGCGAATTCCATATAAATACCATTGAGCTTTTCATTGCTTTCCACATAAAGATTCTTAAAGAGAAAATCTGAGTCGAAAGCAAAACATCGCTCAAAGAAAAATAAGACTTATGAGGTTTATTGCATGGGATATTTGTGCGACAAACTTCGACTACGTTTTGAGTGAGAAGTCACTTTGAACAA